GGAACAAGTGGGCAAGGAAGGTAGAGGTGGAGAAGGTGCCAGTTCCATGTGGCAGTAGTGCCAGTTCCATGTGACAATGCTGTTGTGCGTCCAAGTGCGAGCATGAGGGCTTCAGCAGGCGGCAGTCATAGCCTAGTGCGACGGGCAGCAGCCCCAGCGAGAGCAGTTGCAGGGGCGGCAGCAAGAGGAGCAGCAGCTGCCTTTAGAAGCAATGACAGCTCCAAAAGCAATGGTAGCTCCAACAGCCACAGCGGCAGCCCCTGCCGCAGCAGGTGCTGCCGGCGTTGCTTTTGCTGCGTTGCCTCCAGCTACTGCTGCGGCCGGGACTGCCGCTGTGGCTGTTGGAGCTGCCATTGCTTCTGGGGCGGTTGCTGCTCCTCTTGCAGCTACCCGTGCTGCTGCTCTGCCCGTCGCGATAGGCTGTAACTGCTGCCTGCTGAAGCCCTTATGCTCGCACTGGGATGCACAGCAGCCTTGCCACGTGGAACTGACACCTTCTCCACTTCTCCCTTCCTTGCCCGCTTTTTCCCAGGTCGAATGTCTCCTGCGTTGCGTCACCCTCCAATACGTGCCTTCCCCTCTCCGCCCTCAACTCTATTGTTGTGCTCTTCTTTTTTTGCAAAATGTCTAATAATACCATTGTGTCGTTGCCTCTTCAACTCTGTGACATTGTAGCATGTCCCTTATGCCCTCTCTTCTACGTTGTTGTGGCATGGCTCACAAGAAGAGGAAAAAGGGCAAGGACTGCAACAGGGGAGGGATGGCCCTGTTGATCTTGCCTCTCCCTCTCCAGGCTTACGATTCTTCCATCGCCTTCTCTTTTGGTGTTATGTGGCATGGGTGATATGGCGTCACAGGCTCACAAGAAGCAGAAAAGGGCAAGGGCGGCAACAGGGAAGGGCCCTGTTGATCTTTCCTCTCCCTTTCTAGGCTTACGATTCCTCTTCTTCCGTTGCCTCCCCTTTTTTGCGTTCTGTGGCATGGGTGGCATGGCGTAACAGGCTCACAAGAAGAAGAAAAAGGACAAGGACAGCAATAGGGGTAAGTTAGTCTAAGCTTAGTCTAAGCACGTGCTGTAGTCCAAGCTGATCGTTCCCTTGCAGGCAGACTACAGCGTGAATAGAGTCTCGTTTGAGGCGCCTCAAAACTGGCCCCTTGCACATAGACGTCAGAAAGGGAATGAACAGCTGAGCATAATCATGTCGACGCTCCATTCAGCCTTCTTCTCACTTCAACCAAACCTTTCGCACTCCATTTTGCATGTCTTTGACTAATACACCTTTTCCTGTTACCAACCCCCCTACCAGCCCACACCCCCCCTTTTCCTCCTTCCCTCTCTCCTTCCATCTCTAGTCCTGTTGTGTGGTATTCTCCCGCTCAAGCAGCCCTTTCGACCCCCCCAACTGACCTCCCTACTCACTCTCTTCCGCCCTCTTCCACCCTCTTCCACCCTCTTCTCCCCATGCTCTCCCCTTCTCGCATCTCTAGTCCTGGTGCGCAGTATTCTCCCTCTCAGCCCTCTCAGCCCTCACTTCCCACCTTCCTACCTCCCTTCGAGTCCCATTAACCCCCCACCCACACACTGCCCACCCCCTTCTAGTCCTGCTACATGGTATTCTCCCGCCCAAGCCCGACCGGCCTCCCAACGCACTCTCGTCTTCTCTCTTCCCCCCCCCACTCTCCGCTTCTCCCATCTGCAGTCCTGGTGCCGGTATTCTCCCGCCCAAGCCCTCTCAACCAGCCCTTGCCTTACGTTCCCCCCTTCCTACCTCGTAGGTGATTAAAAAATCACCTTTTGAGTCGACTCAAAAATCACTTACGTTCTCCCCTTCCTACCTCCCATTTTTCCATTTTGCTGAGTGATTTTGAGAATTCTCAAAAACACTTTGCCTTACGTGCCCCCCTTCCTACCTCCCATTTTTCCATTTACCCCCACACTGTCTCCCCCCCCTCCCCCCCATCTCCAGTCCTGGTGCAAGGTATTCTCCCGTCTAAGCCCTCCCAGCCCCGTTCCTACCTCCCTTTTTTTCCCATTAACCTAACCTCCACCCACACACTGCCTCCCTTTCCCCCCCCCCCCCTCCGCTCCTTCTTCCCCCCATCTCCAGTCCTGGTGCATGGTATTCTTCCGCTCAAGCCCTCTCAGCTCTCACCTTACCTTCCGCCCCTCCTACCTCCCATTTTCCCCATTTACCCCCTCACTTCCCCCTCCGCCCCCCGCCCTAGACCTGGTGCATGGTATTCTTCCACCCAAGCCCTCTCAACCCTCAGCCACCCCAAGCCCTCTCCCAACTCACTCCCTTCCGCTCACTTCCCTTCTCTTCTCCCCCCGCTTTGCCCTTCTCCCATCTCCAGTCCTGGTGCATGGTATTCTTCCGCCCAAGCCCTCTCAGCCATCGGCCGACCAACCTGTTGCTGCTGGTTCGGCCCAAGGCTTGGCGCCGACCGAAGCTGTGGCTGGGAATGGTGGTGCTGGTGGTGTTGGGAAAGGCGGCACGGCAAACGGGACTGGCAGCAGCAGTGGACGGAGAAGCAGAAAGGAGGCAGCAGCTAAGGCAGAGGCAGCGAAAGCAGCAGCAGCAGCAGCAGCAGCGCGTAACGACAAGGAGGAGGACGAGGATGAGGATATTTTTGCGGATGTGGGAAGAGATTACACGGTTACGACGAAGCCTACTGCACCTGCGGTTGACGTGGTCCCAGGGGCAGAAGGAGCAGCAGCAGCGACAGAAGCTGCTGTTGCTGCAAGTGGTTCCCGCCCTGCTTACTTCGACGTACCCAGCGGTATCGCAGAAGCGGTTGCACATGCTGCTGCTGCCGCCTCCGCTGCTGCTGCCGCTGCTGCGGGTGGTGGTGGTTCTGCTCCTGCAGTCCCCCTCCTCCTTCGCTGCTTCCTCCTCCACCCCCCCTTCCTGCTGCTGATGACGCAGACATGGACATGGATGATGAGGATGATGGTGGAGGTGTCTTGCCGCCTCCTCCCGCTCCGCCACTCCCACATGGCACGGTGAGAACAGCACGTGGCATGGTGAGAGCAGCACATGGCATGGTGAGAGCAGCACGTGGCATGGTGAGAGCAGCACATGGCATGGTGAGAGCAGCACATGGCATGGTGAGAGCAGCACGTGGCATGGTGAGAGCAGCACATGGCATGGTGAGAGCAGCACGTGGCATGGTGAGAGCAGCACATGGCATGGTGAGAGCAGCACATGGCATGCACAGTAGGATGCTTCATTAGCACTTCATGCCATAGTGAGCCTTCATCATCAATTTCTCTCCTGTGCTCTTCTTCCCTCCCTCCCTCCACCCCCCCCCCCCCCTCTCTCTCTCTCCATTCCCCACTCTCTCTCCCCTAAACCAGGTGGGGCCTGCCTGCCTACCCTCTCACAGATGACTCCTGGAAAGACTACCCAACCCCTCCTCCTCCTCCTCCCTGTGCTCCTGGTGCTCCTGGTGCTACCCCTACACGCACTCACTGCCCCTCCTCTCTCCTTCCGTGTCTGCTCCCCCCTCTCCCTTTCATAAACCAGGTTGGGCCTGCCTACCCTCCCACTGATGGCTCCTGGGAAGACTACCCGCCGCCTCCCCCTCTTCCTCCTCCCGGTGCCCCCCCCTCCCACACTCTCTGGCCCACCTCTCTCCCCCCCCTCCGGCCTCCCAACCCTCCACATATCCCTATCACCAACAGTACCCCCCTCCTCCCCCTCCTCCTCACTATCCCGGCCTGGTTCCACTTCCCCCTCCCCCTCCTTCTCTGCAACACTACCCGTATGGGGGAGGGGAGGGAGGGTACCCACCCCCTCCTCCCCTTCCCTCGGGGGGTTACTCAGTCGCCCATCCCCCTGTGCCTCCTGCTCCTGCTGCTCCCCCCTTTCCTCCTCCTCCTGACACCATCCCTCTGGCATCAACCGAAGTTGGTGCTACTGGCGCTTACCTGACAGAAGAGGAGAAAGGCAGGGGATTGGCGTCAGTGTTTAAGAGATTCACTCCCGAGGAAGAGGAGGCGAGGAGGAGGGAAGGGAGGGAGAAAGTGAGGGAGGGGAGGGAGAAGGTTAAGGATCCAAATGCACTGGGGGCGGGGGGGTACGAGGAATGTTACCAGCGGGAATATGGGGCGAATTTCGCCGGGGAGGTGGTGGAGAGTGACGAGGAAGAGGGGGATGAGCTGGCGCGGAAAGTGGAAGAAGCAAGACAGGTGAGCGTCAGAAGTCTCAGTCAGAAGCACATCGTAGCATGTAGGGAGGTGGTGAAGTGTGACGAGGAGGAGGGGGATGAGCTGGCGCGGAAAGTGGAAGAAGCAAGACAGGTGAGCGTCAGAAGTCTCAGTCAGAAGCACATCGTAGCATGTAGGGAGGTGGTGAAGTGTGACGAGGAGGAGGGGGATGAGCTGGCGCGGAAAGTGGAAGAAGCAAGACAGGTGAGCGTCAGAAGTCTCAGTCATAAGCACATCATGGCATGTAGGGAGGTGGTGGAGAGTGGCGAGGAGGAGGGGGATGAGTTGGCAAGGAAAGTGGACGAGGCGAGACAGGTGAGTGTTACGAGGAAAGTGTTACGAGGTACCTTGAAGCTGGGGGAAGGAAGGGCAGGGAGGTATGAGGAGGAGGGGGATGAGTTGGCAAGGAAAGTGGAGGAAACGAGGCTGGTACGAGCCACTCTCTTTCCTTCCACTCCCTTTCCTCCCACTCCCTTTCTGCCCACTTCCTTTCTGCCCACTCCCTTTCCTCCCACTCCCTTTCTGCCCACTTCCTTTCCTCCCACTCCCTTTCTGCCCACTTCCTTTCCTCCCACTCCCTTTCTGCCCACTTCCTTTCCTCCCACTCCATTTCTGCCCACTTCCTTTCCTCCCGTCCTGACCTCCGTGTGGTGGAGAGTGACGAGGAGAGAAGGGCGTTGAGTTGGCTCGGAAGGGTGGAAGAAGCGACACCACCATGGCTCGAGCTGGAGTTGTAGGCTGCTCTTCTTAATTCTCAGGCTGTTTTTTAGAATTCTCAGGCTGTTTTTTAGAATTCTCAGGGTGTTTTTGAGAATTATAAAAAACACCATGCAAAATCGTTGGCTTGGATGGGTGGAAGAAACAACACCACCATCATGGCTAAAGCTGGTTTTGTGATTTTTAAGCACTTCAAAAATAGACTCCTCACGCATGGAAGAAGCGACACCACCACCACCATATGGCTGAATCTGGTTTAGGAGATTCTGAAGAACCAGGCCAACACTAGTTTTGAGGCGCCTCAAAATTAGTTTTGAGTTTTGAGGCGCCTCAAAACTAAACCAGCCCAACACTTCCTCTTCGACCATAAGCTTACATATGCAGCACCTTCTTTTGGAGAAAACCCAAAAAGAAAAGTCCTCTCCCCTCTTCATTCTCCTTTTTTACGCCCACCCTCCACAGTTGGCACAGGTACAGGACATGTTCACTGGTGATACGACAATGGCAATGAGGACCCTGCCGGTGCAACCAAGGATACGGAGAGAGACAGAGAGACGGCGGACAAGAGGGCTGGCAGCAGCAGGCGGGCGTTTCTTTACTCAGCCCAAAATCAACCTCCCATCCCCCGCTTCCCGCCTCCCCTCCAACCCCCACCTCCCTCCCCCTCCCCCCCCCCCCCCCCCCCCTCATCCGACATACAGTTGGCACAGGTACATGACATGCTCACTGGTGATACGATGACGATGATGCTGGTGCCGGTGCATCCAAGGACACGGACCGAGACAGAGAGACGGCGGACAAGAGGGCTGGCAGCAGCAGGCACTTCACAGCTCTTTCCCAACCCGAAATAGCAGTTTGTTCCGCACACTCCCCCATCCCCCCTTGCCCCCCCCTTCCCCCTCTCCCCCCCCTTCCCCATCTCCCCCCGCTTCCTCCACAGTTGGCACAGGTGCAGGACATGTTCACTGGTGATAGTGATGATGACGATGAGAACCCTGCTGATGCATCCAAGGGTACGGACCGAGACAGAGAGACTGCGGACAAGGGGGCTGGCAGCAGCAGGCGGGCGGGCGGGAGGGAGGGGGAGGGGAGGAAGGGGAAGAAGAAGGAGAAGGACCGGCAGCAGAAGCTGAACAACGAGCTGAATCAGATCAACAAGATCATTGAGAGGAAAAAGAGGGAGGCGGCAGGGGAGGTGGTGGGAGAAGATGACGGGGATGGGGAGTATGGGGATGAAGATGGCGGGCCTTACAAGAAGTCCCGGTATTAGCTATCATCATGAGAGCAATAGCGTCAGAGGGTCGAGTGTCTCTAAGTCACAGTGGGTGGCTGGCAGGTGGTCTGCATTGAAGAGGAGTGGGTGGAGTTAGGGAAGGAAGAAGGGGAGGAAGTAGGAGAAGGACCGGCAGCAGAAGTGCTGAGCCATGAGCTGAACCAAATCAACAAGATTATTGAAGTCTAGTTTTGAGGCGCCTCAAAACAAGAAGGACCGGCAGCAGAAGCACTGAGCCAAATCAACAAGATTATTGAAAGGAAGACAAGGGAGGCGGCAGGGGAGGCGGGGTATGGGGAGGAGGGCAGTGGGCCTTATAAGAAGTCCCGTTATTGGCCAGAGTATATGAACAGGGCGGTGGCAGGGGAGGCGCGGGGGGAGGTGGCAGGGGAGGCGCGGGGGAGGCGGCAGGGGAAGTGGTGGGAGAGGATGATGATGGGGGTGGGAAGAATAGGGAGGAGGACGATGGGCCTTAAAAGAAGTCCGGTTATTCTCCACATAACCAGACCAAGGCGAGGGAGGTGGTGGGGTGATGACGATTATGGTGATGAGGGGGGTATGGGGAGAAGGACGGTGGGCCTTACAAGAAGAGGGAGTTGGCGGCTGGGGAGGTGGCGGCTGGGGAGGTGGCGGCTGGGGAGGTGGCGGCAGGGGAGGTGACAGCAGGGTAGGTGGCGGCAAGGTAGGTGGCGGCAGGGTAGGTGGCGGCAGGGGAGGTGGTGGGGGATGATGATGGGGATGAGGAGTATGGGGGGAGGATGGTGGGCTTATATGAAATCCTTTCATCTACTACCCTATGTGACAGCATGTAGAAGGTTGAGCAGCATTGAGTGGTGTGGGTCCAAGTCTCACCAGCAACAGGTGGTTTGCAGAGGGAGGACGAGAGGAGCAAGGGGAGGAGGAAGGAGAAGGACCGGCAGGAAAAGCTGAGGGGAGGTGGTGGGGGGGAGGAGGTGGGGGGAGGAGGTGGGGGGAGGAGGTGGGGGGAGGAGGTGGGGGGAGGCGGTGGGGGGAGGCGGTGGGGGGAGGGTGATGACTACGGTGATGGGGAGTATGGGGAGGACGACGATGGGCCTTATAAAGAGAATTGTTACAAGTCTAGAATCTAGATGGTTCCGTGACGGAACTTCCATGATCCATGGAAGCAGATGGAGCATCCACTGCATGGGTTTTTGGCAGCAACCACCCTAAGATTATTACTGCTATAACGACATTGCTCTGGTAAAGGAGGATACTGGCACAGTGCAGAGTGGCACGGTCTCCTGTGTTGGTTCAATTCAAAGCTTGCAAATTCTCTACCGTAGGAAAGTCTCTGGATGAAGACGTGCCAGCTCGGTTACATCTGATCTGAGCATCAAATCAAATGCTTCGTACTGCACTGTACACACAGTGCGTTTGCTGCACACCCAAATTGCACAAATACACCACAAACACAAACATGCTAATCGTTAGGGTTGCTGGTACGGTAGTCAATTGCAGCATGCGATGCGATCAGTTATCCAAGGCACTGACTGACGTGAACGGGAAACGCCAGAGAATTGCGACGAGGCAAGGAAGGGATCTCTAAAAAATGGGAACCAAATAGCCTGAACAACCTCCACATGGGGGAGTGTCACATATGGCATCAAGAAGGGCAGCGTTTTAGTGCATGAGGTGCCTCAAGCAGTGGCTTCCACTCCTTGCCCTCCTGCTGCTGCTGCAAGTTGCCCCTCCTGCCACTCCCTCGCCCTTGCAGCCCCAGCCTTCCCCTTCCATCCCTCCAGCCTCTCCCGTCGCTCCCTTTTCTGTGTCCCCCTTCATTCAACCTGGCAGGCATGAGGAGCCTCAAGCGGTACCTAGCACTCCTTGCCCTCCTCCCCCTCCTTCTCCTGCCGCTGCTGCAAGTTGCCCCTCCTGCCACTCTCTCGCCCTAGCAGCCCCAGCCTTCCATTTCGCCCTTCGCTCTGCATCCCTTCTCTTCAGTGCCTCCTTCTTCTGCGCCTTCACCATTTGCCACTGCTCCTGCTCTCAACAAGACGAGGGGAAGGGGAGGAGAGAGGGCAGCGGACAGCAGTAAGCATCCAAAACATCCATTTCGCCCTCCTCTCTGCGTCCCTCCTCTTTAGCGCCTCCTTCTTCTGCGCCTTCACCATTTGCCACTGCTCTTGCTTGCATTCACCATTTGCCACTGCTCTTGCTTGCATCCACCATTTGCCATTTTATGCCATACATGTGCCCACTGCCCACCCGCCGACCCACCCACCCACCTTCACGACCAGCTGCCGCTGCAGCATGCGCCGCCTTTGGTTCCTTCCCGCCCCGCGCGCTTCCCTTCCTAGCCAGCCCGAATGCTGCCCTTGCTAACCAGCCTTCAGTTGGAATCAAGACATAGCTGCTGCCCACCACCTTCACCAACAGTTGCCTCTGCAGCATGCGCCGCCTGTGGTCCTTGCTGCCCTTGCTAACCAGCCTTCTCATTTGAAACTCATACATTGCTGCGGCTCACCCACCTTCACGAACAGCTGCCGCTGCAGCATGCGCCGCCTTTGGTTCCTGCCCCCAACGCTGCCAGCATTGGGCTGAGACGCCGGCACCTGCTCTGCTGCCTTGGGCACATTCACCAGCACCCAGGGGTCTGTTGGGTTGATGAGGGGAGGTATGGGTGGGGGAGGGGGTAGGGGGGAGGGGGGGGAAAGAGGATATTGTGGGTTAAGAAGAGGGTCGCACGTGGTTCATGCCACCCATGCTGCCTGCATTGGGCTGGGAGGCCGGCACCTGCTCTGCTGCCTTGGGCGCATTCACCAGCACCCATGGGTCTGTGGGATTGATGAGGGGAGGTAAGGGAGCGGAGGGGGACGGGAGGAGATGAGCTTGTGGGTTAAAAGAGGCCGCATGCGGTTTCTTGCCCCAATGCTGCCAGCATTGGGCTGAGACGCCGGTACGTGCTCCGATCCCTTGGGCACATTCACCAGCACCCATGGGTCTGTTGGAAAAAATGCCGGCGTTGGGAGAGGGGAGAGGGGAGTGGAGGGGAGGGGAGGAACCAGGAGACAGGAGGCATGGAAGGAGAAAATGAAAGTTACTAATGGTTCTGAGGAGACTTATAGCGAATATAGGCAGCAGATCTATCCGGGCAGCTTATCCCTCCCCCCCCCTTCCCCCTCCTTCCCCCCAACCACCCCTCCCCCCTTCCCCCTCTGCGCGGTTGATTCCCCCCATCAGCGCAGTTTGTTTTCCCATACGCGCAATTCACATCCCACCCCGCAGCAGCTCAGTCCATTCCCCATCCGGTTGTATTTTGAGTCGACTCAAAACACATGTCCTTGTAAAAATCCCTGTCCATGACAGCCAAACCCAGGTTTTTGTCGGCGGGTTAAAAAACAAAATTCTGGTTGGAAGCCAGTCGCCGAAGTGCTGGTAGCAGTTTAGAAGTTGAGTTGTATTTTGAGTCGACTCAAAATACAACTCAGTCCATTCCCCATCCGCTTACCTCCTCGCCACTTCTTTTGTCGCTTCGCAAATCCACGTTTTAGAACGAGCGACGCGCCCATGGGCTCAGCGCCCGCCACGTGTTGCTGACGCAGCGCGGGGAAAAGTCCACGTGTCAAGACGGACTGTGCTAGAGGAGAGGAGGTTCCAAATGACCTGGAAGGTATCGTTGCTGGGGAAGAGTGCGGCGGAAATTGCGGCGGAGATGGCGGCGACGGCAGCGGCGAGAGGTTTGAGAGGAGAGACGCGATTCGGAAAACGGAATGGCTGCTGGATGCAGCGGCGGCGGTCGGAACGCTGGCGAGAGGGCCGATGCGCGTTGCGACGGACGCGGCGGATACGGAGGATGCGGCGGTTGCAGGGACGAAGGGCGACGATGCGCTAACGCCAGTAGCGGGGAGGTGCGAGGACTGGAACGCGCGTAAGAATCGTGACGCGAGCGATCCGCCCCCTCGCATCTTGACAGTCGACACGGACGCTGGAAACGACAGAGTCCAGACCTTCGCTTAGTCGTCGCTTAGTCGTCGCTTATATGTCGATTATATGCATGCAGGGTATCTATGGGGCGTGGGTCGCGTTGCGTATGGATATAATTTTACAGTTCTCTTTTTATCTGTCACTGAAGCTCCATGAAAGACATTGTAAAATCGAGCTGTTTGTAACGAATCAAGTGGTTGGGGGGGGAGCCAGCGGTTCCGGCAAGCCAGGAATTGACACGTGCGAAACAACGCGGTTTGTTGGAGAACAGGCTGGGCAGCAGCACGAAAGTTAAATTGCCGAGTCGCGGGCAAGAAATGCCCTTGGACTTGAAGGTTCGTGGGCTTCAACCCCCACGAGTTTGCGTTCGCGTGCTGCCCCATCATTTCCCAAACCTCCATTCTCGGTTTTTCTTCCCCGCGAAAAACTTGGAGCCAATCTGAGGACACGCATCATGCCCGACTGGTTACGACACCCCACGCCGCCAAGCAGTCAGGCTTGGTAAGGGGCCTCGGTGTTGTCGAACAGGTGCCCAGAGGTTAGGGCACCGGCCTGAACCTGCCTGGAAGCACAAAAATCCCGCCAAATCCGTGCCGAAGCTCACCCCCCGCCATGCCGAAGCTACTTCACCTAATCAGCAGCAACCTCCTTTTCCTTACCTCCTTTCCTGACATCTTTCTCCAGCTTAGCAGGTGCGTTGAATAGAAGCTCCAGCAGAGAACTTACCTTAGCTGCCTGCAGGTCCAGTTTTCTCAGGGGACAGTAATTTTCTCTAAAACTGGACGGAGGTTGATTTTGTATGTTATGATTTAACCTCTGTGTAGGTTCTGCCCAGTCGTTGTTTTAGGTTGCAACGGTCCGTTGCGTGTCAACAAGTAGCTCCATGCGTCGTCGGCATCGTGACGTGGGGAAGCGGGTTTTATTGGTATGCTCGGAAGTGACCGAGTCTGAAGTGGCAATGTGCTGTTCAGTGGTCCCAAAATTTTTACTGTAGTTTCTCTATTTTCAGACTGATCAATTCGAGTTTAGGTCTAACTGACGGATCCTGACTTAGTAGTTTAACGTTGTAGCTTAACCATGGCGGTGGACACAGCAAGAGAAAGGGCTCTGCAGAAGCGGATAAAGGAATTGGAAGCAGGTTAGTCGATCCTCACGTCGTTACCCCTTGTTTCTTCTGTCAGGATAGTGGGGAGTTTTTTAGAATCCTCAAAAACACCCTGCAAAGTCAGGATAGTGGGGAGGAAAGAAGACCAGGGTCTTTGGGACACTCTTCAGGTGTTCGCTCCATGGTTTTTGAGGCGCCTCAAAAATGGTTTCTCCCTTTCAACCTCTACACATCTACTCCTGGTTTTCTCGTATCGTTTTTCTGTGTTGCTTTACCTAGCGTTCTGCCCCTTGTTGTTCGCCTCTCTTCGTTTCTCTTCGTCGCACTACCTTTTCGAAGAGAACATCCCTCCCCTTCGCCCGTTTCCAGTAACGACCATTTCCGCATCCGTTGTCCACGTGGCAGAGCGCGATGAGCTGCAGCGTGACCTGAAGGGGATGCGTGACGTGTCTGCAGCAGGTGTACTGATGCGCTTCAAAACCCGCCGATTCCTTTTCCCTTGCCCCTTGTTCCCTCATCCTGTAACAGAGCGCGATGAGCTGCAGCGTGACCTGGAGGGGATGTGCCTGCAGCAGGTGGGGAGCGCTGGAGCCGAAGACGCCATGGCGCGGATGCAGGCCAGAAGGTGAGCCGCGAGGAGGAGTAGTCCTTTTTTTTGGAAAGTAGGGGGTAATGTTGGGCTGTAGATGCTATGGTGACTTTTGAGTCGACTCAAAAGTCACCTCGTAATGTTGGGCTGTAGATGCTATGGCGCAGATGCAGGCTCGAAGGTGAGGCGCGAATCGAGGGCACGCGCGTTTTAAAAAAGGGCTAGGTAATCAGAGAGGGTACGTTGTAAGAAACCCGAAACATTTTCTCGGTTCTTTCTTCTTGTTAATGCCCGTTTTCACTGTACCTTTTTTCTTCTTCACGCGTCAGGGTCGCCAACCTGGAGGCAGAGCTTGCCACGTGTCGCCACACGCTTGCATCGCTGGAGATGGAGATTGCTGACCTCAGGCATGACCTGGCGGACGCCGAGCAGAAGAAGGTGCGTGGCATGGGGGTATGGGGTATGGGGTGTGGGGCATGGGGGTATGGGGCATGGGGTGTGGGGTATGGGGTGTGGGGCATGGGGGTATGGGGCATGGGGTGTGGGGCATGGGGGTATGGGACGATGACTTTCTGAAGAAGGTGCGTGGAGATCTGATGCAACTTCTGAAGAAACAAAACGAGAAAGATTGAATGAGAACGTGTGTAACTTGGCCCACATT